TTATTACAATAAATTAGAATTTAATTTATTTTTAATCAAGAACAATTTACAAATTTACTATCATTACAATTTTTAATCTATTTTTATTAGAATTAAAAATTTGATTTTCCTACAATTTAATCCAAGTTAATTTATATCAACACAATTTTCTGCTTTCAAAAATATTTCCTCTAGACATTAATTTAATACTCCGATTAGTTAGTCAATTTTTTCAAATTAAAAATTCAAGTAGGGAATAAAAATTTGTGTAATGAAAATTTTGTTACTAATAAAAAAGGAATGTGAGTCTATAGAAGAAGCAACAACAGTGGCAACGGCAGCGGCGACGGCGGCTTTCTTTTTTCTCCCAGAGAATTTATAAAACGTGAAGTACAAGAACGGTCATAGTGAAAATGTATTTCAAAATTCTTTTGTTTCGTACTTGCACTTAAAAGGATACCTGAAGAAGTTTATGGAAACTTGCCCTATAAATTTTGGCCTTAATACGAACGTTGGATAATATTAAAACGCTACTAGGAGTTATGACCCCAGACGTCCATTATGCACACAGTTGATAAAGGTAGAACACGATATACTTTGTTTCACTCCCATGGCATGGGCTAAAGGCAACGGTATTTGGATCATAACGATACCCAACACGCTCGTTAAAAGCAATTTCCCTTCTTTTAATATTTAACAGTTAGCGGGGGAGGATTTTCCAAAAAAACAACGAAAAAAATAACAATCCTTTTCTTTTATAAATGAAGGAAGATTAAAATATATTTGAATATCGAAAAAATTCAAATGTTTCCGGTAGCTAAGTGCTTTTACTCATCGAGAAAATTTTTTTTTGCTTTCTATATCTAAATCACTATTGTATAGTCAAAAAAAATATTTTCAGTACAAACCAATTTTAGTCATTTAGCTAAAAGTTCTCGTATTTATTGTTACATTAATTTGCATCTATTTTATATTCAAGAGATTTTTCATTTAAGGAAATTATATTTTGTCCGAAATTTCCATTAATATCTTGGTCATAAAAATTAATTTAATTAACAATTCATAAAAAGTAACCACAGCCGATAATCAGCAGACGATGAAAAATTATTTTTTGAGAGAACTTTATCTTCCATTTACTAACAAGTAACAATTCTTAGTCACAAAATTTTTCCCTGGTCCCAATTTATTGCCAGAACAATTCCAATAATGATCTGAGTCATAAAAATTAATTTAATTTACAATTCACAAACCAAAGTCAAAAATTAAAAAATACGTTTCAAGTTGAAAATATTTCTATCTAAGTGTTATAAAATGCAGTATAACATTTTCTGCATTTATACTTAAATTATTTAATTCTGTATAAAAATATTCACAATTTCATTCACAAATTCCCAATATTATGAAGAAAAAACTTTAAGCACCAAGTAAAGTTGAATATTTCATGTCATAATGACTAAAGATAATGAAACTTTAATTACTGAAGCAATTTTACACTAAAAGTTAAGGCACTATATAAACAACAAAGTTAAAATACTTGAAAATGAAAGCTTTCTCGAGAGTTGAGGTAATGGAATGCCATAACTAATTAATGGTGAAATGTCAGCAAATAGCCTAATTGAGTAGGTGTAAGGAGAAGCACCCAGGCTGTGTTGCCATACAGACATACCGTAAAATCTATTGGTGTATTTACACTAAATTTCCTCTCGACGAGAGGCACTTCAACGACCACAGCTATTGGTATCTCGAGGATTACTTGGTGGTAGAAATGGTCAGATAAGGATAACTTCACGAATTACAGATTACTTCCAACCATATTCAAATCTCATTGCGAATTCCCTAAAACCTAATTTTCCTTTTTCAAAATACATTAAATTATTAAAAGCTACATTTTGAAGAAATAATCTCATCCCAGGTCCCAGTCGCTCTTATCGCATTAAAGATAAATAGTCAAAAGTCGATTATTTTATTCAGTAACAAAAATTTAATTTTTCATTTCCCTGACCTTCCTCTGATTTTTAAATTCAATAATTTTATTAAATAAATATTTAAATACTAGTTATTTTTTTCCCACAGGAATTAAATCTTTTTTTTTATAAATTTTCAATTTTAGATCTTTTAAAATTCAATTATTTCTCCAAAAAACATGTTCCTTTCCAAAATTTAATCCGTTTCAACAATTTTTAAATAATACACACACTGAAAAAAATTTTTATTTAATTCCCTGTAATATATTACCAATTATTTTTATTATTATTAATACTGTTAAATTTCTTGTGGGAATAAAACAAAAACCGTTCCTCGTGCACCGAAAACAAAAAAAAATTTGTTTTCAGGCATAAAAAATGCATTTCAACTAATATAAAACCAACAGCTACCGAAATCTGACCAAATTGCAATGAGATTCAGCACTGGAGCATATTTCAAGCTAAAATATGCAAATTTTCATTGTCCGGCAGAGAGCAGTATTTCGCATATTCAATGTACAACAGTAAAATATATAAAAGCTAAATGTAATTTTCAAGCGTGAGTGCGTACTAGTGTCACCACACCTATTTCCTTCAAAATGTTTTGTTTTCTTTTTCAAACAACTGATTAGCGGAATAAACAGTAACGACACATATATATGTTTATATATATAAAATTAACTAACGACCCACACTAGACGAGAATGCAAATGTTTCTCAATGCAAGGAGAAAAGTAAACAGACCTAACGACTATAAACTCAACACGAATAGAAACTGACACATAACCAGTATATATGTATACATATATACAAAATTTATATATGTATATGGTCAGAAATATTTTTCTCCTGATAAAAAAGCAGAAAAAGGCAAAAAAAAAAATTTTCACAAAAAAATATATCGTATACCAATTGCTCAATTCACAGAAAGAGTTTTACTTCATGAATTTTTATCGTTTGAATCGTCGATAAATTGCTTTTAAAAATTTCGAACATTGTAAGACTATACAAATGGCTCAAATTCTCTCGAGAGAATTTAAAATAGAATTCCATTCAATATATAGTTAAAGCTATGACAGAAATTTCAATTTCAATTCATTGAGTAAACCTTAAAAAAATGATGATGAATAAAATTTTAATTTAATATATAGAAATCTATAAACAATTTTGAAGAAGAAATTAAGTTTGAATTATCATCAAATTTTCAATATTTTAATTTTAAAAAATATATAATTTAAACGATTTGAACTATTTTATAACGTAACCTTAAAAATAAGGTTTGCGCCAGGAATCACAAGTACGATTTCCACCAAAAACTGACATTTTGCTGACACAAAAATATAATATTCCTACTTTTATTCATCTTATTACTTATTCACCTTGTTCAACACTTAAAAAATTTTTTTCACACAAAATACTCAATTAATCGAATACTATTATTGTTGTTTTAATACTAGTAGGAAATTGTCGCAACAATATCATAAAAGAAAAATTTCTCACCAGAAATATTTTATTCATAAACACTATTTTGTTGTAAAAAAAAAACAAAGGAAACTAGAAGAAATATTGTCGAAACAATAGCAAGTAACAAAGATTACATACTGCACATGCGCAGATGTTTGACACTTGTCTACAAAGATATTTTGATTGTTAGAAATATTCCATCAAATTATGCAAAAAACTATTAAAAAACAGATAATTCTTTGAAAAACAATTGAAAACTTGTAACAAGTGTTATATTTAGCTGCAATCACGAAAATATTGTAAACTAATCAACCTAACCTAAAAATAGTCATACCTAGAAAATGTAATCATTACCTGTGCAATTCACTGTTTTCAGCTCCAAATCCATCTTCCACTAGGAAAAATTTATCTAATAATTACGATTCTTTAACTGCAAGGACATAAAATACACTTTATGTTCAACGATTGTGTAAAAAAACATGTGATTATTCTGACACGACGCTCACTGCGACGGTGCGACTAGAAATGGTTGAACTACTCGAGTCAATGACTTGTACCTTGCGCACATGCGCACAACTTCAGACAAGATGCTGCCGCGAAAATTCAAATTTCAATTTCATAAAATAATTAATAAAAGAATAATTTCTTAATTTATTCAAATTTTAATTTCACTCTTGTTAAATAAAAATTGTATACTTTATATTTCTTTTTTCACTATACGACATATTATATTATTGTATTTAGTTTATTAAAAAATATTGAAAAATAGTATAAATTCTTTAAAATGAATAGAAATATAGAGCATTTGTATAAATAAATTAATATTTATAAATAATAATAGTAAACAGGAAATAATAATACGTTCATTGAAATATTAAATATAAAAACCGCTCACGAACTGTGGACTTGCAGCATTAATAGAAATGTCAATTAGTTGAACTAACCTAAAAACTACTTGATGCAACAATTATCATAGTTACCTATTCGATTTTCCGCTTTCAGTCCAAAATTTACCTTTTACTAGGAAAAAAATATTTACTAATTACGATCACTATTCCTCCAAGACAATAAATACACTTTCTATAATAGGATTAACAATAAACAATGGAGCCTTCTGACAATGACGTGGCACTGCATCCACAAGACTACTTGAGTCAATGACATGTCTATTCCGCGCATGCGCGAAACTCCAGACAAGTATTAACCGCGAAAATGAATTCAAATTTGAATTTAATAATTATAATTATAACATAAAAAGTAAATTATTACTTTTTTGTTTCAAAATTTATTTTGAAAGTAATAAATTTTGATATAGTTATAAATATTATAATAAATAATAAGAAAATAAAACCTAAATAAGAAATAAAAATTATAAATACAAATTCTGAAATTCTGGAAAAAATAAAAAATTATCAATACCTAAATAATAATCATAAAATAAAACCTAAATAATTAATAAACAATCAAAATTATAAATACAAAATTCTGAAATCCGATAAAAATTAAAAAAAATTTCTGAATAAACAATTTCTAAATATTGTATAAATATAATAATTAGATGCTAATTATCAGGGATCAGAAAATACGAAATAATTTTCTGTATACATAATGCAGTTTTAATTTACAATGTACAATGGACTTCTTAACTATTATTACAACAATGGTACAATAATTACAGCACATTTCTTGAAAAGTGACAGAAAATAATAATTCATCATTATTCACATTAATAGCTCTAATAGTAAACAGTATTTGAAAATTCCATACAATTATATTCATTCTGTTTCTTTTCAAGGGACGATTCTCACGAGTTATTTATTTTTTTCTTTTTCAATATTATTATTACTATCAAGTATAAAAAAAGACTATTTCCTCGATACTCTTTCAATAAAAGAATTCTAAAAGCGTAACTCTGATAAAAATATAGCAATTTTTTTTGTATTATATTTCTGTATGTATATATTTTGATTAAATCAAAAAAAAAATAATACATAAAAATAAAATCTCTATTTCTAAGACAAAAAAATGATTCTCTATTTTAATGCCTTTTTATGAATAAAATAAAAAAATATATTCACATTTAATGAGAGTGTAAAAAAACAGAAACAACGGATCAGAGCCTCTTTTCTTTTTTCTTCTAGAATAACAACTAAACTCTCTAGTAGATCTCTGATATAGAACTTTGACAAAAAAAAGGAGAAAAAAAATAAATTTACAGGAGGGAGAGACTGTAAAAGTGATTCAGGTACTTTAAAAAATCCAAATAAAATGGAAAAAAATTAATAACGTAATTTACCTTCCAGAGGTAATAAAACGATTATTTCTACAGGAAGATCGAGTTTGAAAAAATGTTAACTGCTTAACATTGAGGAAAAAAAACACAACTTTAAAGCGTAAACACCCTTAAAACATAAAACAAAGGATTTTTTTTTTGGAGTTTTTTGCTGGAAGGCACTTGGTTTTTTTTCCTCTAGTTGTTGTTCGTCTCTTTTTTCATGGTTCCAAGTTCCTCCAGCATCGCTTGTATTCCCTCAGGAACTCGACCTGCATCCAACTCCTGTCCCCAAAAACGATACTAAAAAAGAAAAAAGAAAATTGTAAACAAAATGTAAAACACTTGTCTATTTTATTTGTTGAGTGCGTGTGTGTGAGTGTATAAAAGAAAGAAGATGAAAACGTGCGTAAATGTTTTAAAATAAAAAAAAAGAATTCAATAGAGAAAGATAAAAGGAAAAATTTTTTTAAAAAAGGAGAAAAAAATATATTCTACCAAAAAAAAATTTTTCACAAAAAACGAAATCTACAATAGTATGAGCCATTAAAAGAAAAATAAAAAAAAAGAAGAAAGAAATCAAAAACAGTAACGAGAGAATTCAAATATAGAGGGAAATTTTTCAAACAAAAAGTTATTGCAAAAAATTGCAAGGAAAAATAGGAGTAAATAAAATAATTTATAGGTAAAATAGTAAAGAAATAAGTAAAAAAAAGAAATTGTAGCCTAAAATTCAATATTTATTTTATTTTTTGTTATTTTATATTTATTTCATTTACTTTACTTTTTAGATTTATTTTAATCATTCTGCTTTCCTTTTTTTTATTTATTTTACTTATTTCAATCATTTTATTTCTTTTATTAATTTTGTTTTACTTTCTTAATTCATTTTACGCCTATTTATTTATTTTTTTAAATTATTTATTTATCTATTTATTTATTTCAATATATAAACGGGCTTACAAAGAAAAAAAAAGAAAATTCATTTTGTTTAAAATTTTTTTTATTTATTTTGCTTATTTTATTCACTTTATTTATTTTATTTATTATATTTTTTATCTTTTATTATATTTTTATTTAAACGAGTAAATTAATGAATAAGTAAACAAAATTTATGAGCATAAATAAAAAATACAAATAAAATAATTAATTTCAAACTTATACTTGTTTATAAATGAATAATATTAAAATAATATTTTTAATAAAAATACAAAAATTGAAGTGAATGAAATTAAAATTCATAAAAATAAATTAAATAAGTAAATAATATTTACAAACATGAATAAAAAAGAAAAATATGAAATAATTTATTTATTTCAAACTTATTTGCCTTTATAAATAAATGATTAAAACAAAAATGTTTCTAAGCAAAAATACAAAACATAAATAAATCAAAAAGTTAGTGAATTAAAAAAAACTTTTTTAAAATAAATGAAAATTAAAATCATGAATAAAAAAAGAAAAAAAAACAGAAATAAATATGTAAATAAAATTCACAAACGTAGAAGAATTTCATAAAAATAATTAAATTAATAAATTAATAAATATTAGAAGCATTAAAAAATATGAATAAAAAGCAAAATAAATAAGTAAAAGTGATAGATGTAAAAATACTAAACATAAATAAATGAATAAATAAGGGAATAAAATTAACAATTAGAAATAAAAAATTTAATTAAAATAAATAAAATTATGAGCATAAATACAAAACATAAATAAATAAATAAATAAGCAAATAAAATTTATATGTAGAAATAAAAAAACCAAGATAAAAGAATAAAATAAAAAAGAAGTAAATGAAAATCATAAGCGTAAGTATAAAATATGAATAAAGTTATTAATATACGTAAATAAATGAAGATTAAAATTAATTAATTAAATTAAATTAGTAAATAAATAAATATTTATATTTTGAAAAATTTTATTCTATTTTATTCTAAGTAAATATAAAAATAAATTATACAAAATAAAAAAAAACTTTAAAGAATATATGCAAAATTTAAATAAAATAAATAAATAAATAAAATTATTGCAAAATAAACACAAAAAATTTAAATAAATTAATAGAATATGCAAAATAAACAAAAATTGATCAAATTAAGCAAAAAAACAAATAAATAAATAGAAACAAAGTGTAAAATATTTTCGAAAATAAATCGAACAAATTCAAAGAAAAAAAAATATTAACAAATAAAATGTTATTGACAGAATGTAATTTACAAACTATAACGAAAATGGTATGGACGAAAAAAACATTCAAAACAAAAATCACAAAGGAAATTTAATAAAGAAGATAAATTAAATTTTACAGAAACATTAAATTACATGTATTAAATCAAAGCAAAACGATATTACATGAAAAATTTTGTTGAAAAGCTGTAAAACGTCATCGACGCAATGTTCCATGAATTCTAAAGTGAAAAAGGATTTCTGACAAGAGTTGAAGAGCGCAGTAAAAAAGGGGAAAAATAACAAAGCAGTAAAAGAAATAGAGACAGCAAACAAATAAATGGAAAAATAGAAAGTATAAGCGCAAAAGATTAGAGAAATGAAACAAGTGTATGTGTTTCTGTGTGAGAAATATTTTCAAGAAAACAAAGAAAGATGTGTAGAAAAAAAAACGTAGATTTTTGTTGTTTTTACCATGTCTAGCTCCTTTCGGAGGGCCATCACGGCCTTTTCTCTATCGGCGACAAGCTCTTCCAGGTACTGATATCTCAACTTTTTACGAGCACGGCACTCTCTCGCGCTCTGCCGGCTTCGTTCTAATATAAAACAGCAGCAACAACAACAAAAAAACAAAAGAGATACAGATGAATTTAGTTTCTTTTTTCTTTAAACAAAGAGAAATGTATAAAAATATATTATATATATAATGTATATTAAAATTAATATCTAAATATACATAAAAATTATAAAGGAGTTTCAACAAGAAGTGACTCGCAATTTGACAAAAAATATGCATCTAAAATTTTTTTTTTTACAAAAAGTTTCCCAAGACTTTTCACTTGCAAATTGTTTTAAGACAATTAGAATCGAATTAATGTAAAATTTAGTTTAATTCAGAGAAATTAAATTACAAATTTCATTTAATTATTTTAACTATACATATTAATTTAATTTAAAAATGAAAATAAGCTTCTAATTTTTTAAAATTCAATATTTTTAATATTTTCAATTACATATTTCCAAAAATAATAACATTTTAGAATTATTTTTAACATTTTGGAGAAAAAAATAATGTTCAAAATTTTTAATTAAAATTCATTAGTTTTTTTAAATTATACAAAAATTCTTTAAAGAAATACAATTATTTTCGAAAAATTACATTAATAAAATATTTTTAAAAACTAATTATTAGAATAGTTTTGTAATAATTTTTTAAGATTCAACAGAGTTGCCACAAATATTAAATTTTATTTTTCCCTGATTTCCAGACAAAATTTTAACTTTTTCCCTGACCCTAAAGAATATTCTGATTCACTCTAAAATTATTTGATACTCAAAAAAAATGTTCTATTACAATTATTTACAAATTTCTTCAAAAGTAAAATTATTCGAAAACATCAATAACTTATTTTTTAAATAAATATTGAATCATTATTACTTTTCCGTAAAAATTAAAATTCTTCACATTTTAATAAAATTTTGAAAAAAAATTACATTTTTCAAGGAATTTAATTAAAATATTGTATAAAAAATAATTAAAGTTTTGCCAAGAATTTTATTAAAATTTTTCTAAATTAATTGAATTTCAGAGAAGAATTTTATTATTTATAAAGATACTTGAAATTTTGACAAGAATGTTTGTAAATAATTGAAATCCTCAGAAGAACTTTATTATTTAAGAAAATAATTGAAATCCTCAAAAGAATTTTATTATAGAAAATAATTAAAATCTTTAAAGGAATTTTTCTTTTTATGAAGATAATTGAAATTTTTAAGAAGAATTTTATTGAAATTTTTTGAAAATAATTGAAATACTTTGAAAATTGTTGTTATTTATGAAAATAATTGAAATCTTCAAAAGATTTTTTTTTATGAAGATAATTGAATTTTCAGGAAGAATTTTTATTATAATTATTTTTAAAAATAATTGAATTTTGGAGATGAATTTTATTTTTTATATAGATAATTGAAATTTTGACAAGAATTTTTGTAAAGTTTTTAACATAATTGAATTTCAGCGAAGAATTTTATTATTTTTGAAAATAATTTAATTCTTCCAACGAATTTTATTCAAGTTTATAAAAAAAATGAATTTCTATGAAGAATTTTATTATTTATATAAATAATTCAATTCTTGCACATAATTTTATTCAAATTTATGAAAATAATTGAATTTCGGTAAAGAATTTTATTATTTATACATATATAAATAATTGAATTCTTGCAAAGAATTTTATTCAAATTTATAAAAATAATTGAATTTCGGTGAAAAATTTTATTATTTATAAACATAATTGAATTCTTGCAAAGAATTTTGTTAAATTTTGTTAAATAATTGAATTCTTGCGACGAATTTTATAAAATCTTTTTAAATAATTGATATTTTTCGAAAAATTTTTTGAAATTTTGTATTTTAAATAATTGAATTCCTGTAAAATTTTGCCAAGAGTTTTATTAAAATTTTAAAAATAATTGAATTTCGATGAAAAATTTTATTATTTATAAAGATAATTGAAATTTTAACGAGAATTTTTTTTTCCTTTTTAAACATAATTGAAATTCTACGAAGAATTTTTATAACTTTTGAAAATAATTGAATTTCTAGAATCATTTGTAACTTTTCCAAAATTCAATTTTTTTTTTTTTAGTTTTTTTAACTAAAATTCTTCTATCAATCTAGTATTTATGAAAATTGTAAAAATTATTCATTAAATAATTTATAAGTCGTAATTATATGATGGTTCTTGAAAAATTAAGTTATTTAAACAGAAATTATTGTCAGAAATAGAACAAATTGAAAGGTTTGTATTAAAATTCGTGGTAATTCCATAGTTTACGAGGCAAACAAAAAAAAAATTTTTTAATTTCAAAGTTTTCTCATGAATTTTAAAAATTAAATTTTTTCCAGTTTTTTTTTTAATAAAAATCCCTAAATTTTCCCTGATTTCCCTGACCTGTGGCAACCCTGTTCAAAATTTACTTTTTAGACTTATTAAAATTTTTTAGAAATCACGGTACTTTTTATAATTAAAATTTAAAATTCTTCAAAAATTTGATCATTTTTATTTATACTTTTCAAAAAATCAATTATTTTTAAAAAATTTTACCAAATTTGAATTGTTTGGGAATTTTTCAAAATTAAAAAACTATATTATCGTTCAAAAATTATTTAAAAATATTTTTAGAAAATGAATCGTAAGAACTTCTTTATTATAATTTTTTGAAAATATACCTTAATAACTTAAAAAAAAACTATGGAGAGTCACAATTATTATAAAAAATTGAGTTTATGTATTTAAATAATTGAATTCTGGAAGAACTTTTGGAAAATTATTTAAATTAATTTGTTACTAAATAAAAAATTATTTATTATTATTTTTAGAAAAAAAAATCAAGTCACTAATTGTTTATGTATATAAGGAGAAGAATAAGAAAAAAAAATGATAAATTACTTGTATTTTGGAAAATTGAACCAAATTGAGACTTCGGGATAATTTCTTCTTATATTTATGCAATTTTCTGGAAGGCATCATATTCTGGATATAGAGGTATATAATGGTACACTTTGGATACATATGTATATACATGGAGTGTATAATGGTTGGCACAAACAAGGAGTGTAAGAGAGTCCACAGTGAAGTGGAAGGAATTGCAAATAATTTCGTACACTATTTCACCGAAGTGATAAAATATTTTACGATCAACCCTGCATTATCGTGCTTCCGGGCTTGTTTTACGTGATCATAAAGCTCGCCATTGCTCATTCACTCTCTCTCCATATAAACATATATATATATATACAAACACACGCACAATAACAAATCGTAGAAACAAATTCACGCGCGCGAATACTTTAGATTTCGTTTAAATAAACGCTTATTCTTCCATCCGACGTTTGTTATATATGTATTCTACACTTAAAACTTTGAATCATTAAAAAGTGATTCATGTTACGTCGGGAAATGAGTTCGAGAAAAAAAAAAGGAAGTTAAATTTTTCTACTCAAAAAAGAAATTCATTCGTTTGTATTTACACAGTTTTTCTAAGAATATCAAATTGAGACAAAAAACGAATCAAAACGTTGCTTCGCAACACTTTTGATTTGTTTTTTGTCTCAATTTGATATCCTTAGAAAAACTGTGTAAATAATTTAAATAAATAATGTAATGAATAAATCCTTTGCAATAGCCGCGCGAGTTAAAGTGTCGCTTGTCACTTCAGCGACGTGGGTTCGATTCCTCCCAACGGAATTTAGAATTCAACTTAAAATTTTATTAAATAAGTATAAAGTAATGAATAGTAAATTATAATAAATAAAAGAAAAAAAATAATGAATAAATATGTAATAAATAAATAAGTAATAAATAATTATGAAATTATGAAATATAAAAAATACAAAATAATGAAATATTTATAAATTTTTCTTTTTAAAATGAATACACACACACATATATATATACTATACAAGAAAAGTGTCTGGAAATGTTGCAAAGTTTAAAACTCATTTCCCGGCGCTACTGATAAGTTAGAAAAGAGGAAGGAAAAAAAAAGTAAACGGGGATGGGTTGTTTCTTAGTCTTCAGCGCTAATTTGGCAAGACTGAGGTCCTCGTACGAACTTTAGTACCGAGCAATAAAGCAAAGTCTAGAGAGAAAAGTTTCGATGTTCCTGTACGTGATTTTCGTCGTTAGGATACGTGCGTTGCTAAACACGAGATGAAGGTGTTAATGTGAAAGGAGGGTAAAAAAAAGTAAAAAAAAAAAAAACACGGAAAAAAAACCCCCCGAGGGTATAAAAAAAAGTGACATGTGAGAAAAAAACGTGTTGAAAGCAAATGAATACGTTAATTTGTCACACGACAACAAATTAGTAAATAAATATCAACAAAAAAACACTATTTTTTCAAATAAATTAAAAATTTTTCCAAATTTAAAATTCTTCATAGGAAAAAATTGTGCTTTTTTCTATTTATGCTATAATTGGAATTTTTATCGGATTGCAGAATTTGGAAAAAATATATTTTTCTTCAAATAATTAACATGCAAATTTAATAATGGATTTCATAATTTAGAAAATATATAATTTTCTTTAAATTAAAATGCAGATTTAATAATAGATTTCAGAATTTGTCAAAAAATATTGCGAGACTTTTCAATTACAATAAAAATATTTTCTTTTCGATTTAAAATGTTTTTAGACATTAAAAATATTTCATTAGAGTTTAAAAATATTTTTTCGAGATCTAAAATATATCCAAGAGTTTTAAAATAATTTCTTAGAGTTCTAAAATATATTTAAGAGGTCCAGAATATTTCTCCGAGTTCTAAATTGTATTTAAGAGTTTCAAGATATTTTTAGAGTTTCAAAATATTCCTTCGACTTCGAAAATGTATTTAAGAGTACTAAAATATTTTCAAGAGTTTCAAAATATTTCTTCGAGTTCTAAAATAATTTTTTTTTTTAACTCTTAAAAATATTTTAGGACTCTGAGAAATATTATGGAACTGTAAAAAATAGTTTAGTACTCTGAGTAATATTATGCAACTGTAAAAAATATTTTAAAACTCAAAGAAATATTTTGAAACTCTTAAAAATATTTTATAACTCTTAAATACATTTTAAAACTTGATGAAATATTTTTAAACTCTTAGACGTATTTGTAGAACTCTAAGAAATATTTTGAAACTCTTAAACATAGTTTAGAACTCGCAGAAATATTTTAGAACTGGAAGAAATTTTTCAGAACACGAAAAAATATTTCGAAACTCATAAACACATTTTAAAATCTGAAAAAATGTTTTGAAACTCTTAAAAATATTTTAGAACTGCAAGACATGTTCCAAAATATTTCTTAGAATTTAAAATCGTTTCTCAGAGAGTTAAAATATGTTTAAGAGTCTCAAAATGTTTTTGAATTCTAAAACATTTCTTAAAAATCTAAAATATTTTTAAGAGTATCTAAATACTTTTTTAGAGTTCCAAAATGTTTTTTAAAGTTCTAAAATAATTATCTGAGTTCTAAAATACATTATTTTCAGAATTTCAAAATGTTTTTTAGAATCCTAAAATATGTCTCAAAAATCTAAAATGTGTTTAAGAGTTCCAAATAGTTGTTTTTGAGTTCTAAAATTTTTTTAAAGCTCAAATAGATTTTAAAGAGTTTCGAAATGTTGTTTAGAGTTCTACAGGAAGTTTAGAAAGCATAAAATGTTTTCTAGAGTTTTAAAATTCTCTTAGATATTAAAAACATGTTTAAGAGTACAAAAATGTTTTTTAGAGTTCTAAATTCTTTCTCAGAGTTCTAAAATACCTTTCAGAGTCTCGAAATGTTTTTAAGAAGCCTAAAAATTTTTTCTCAAAATTCTAAAATGTTCTTAAGAATTCCTAAGTATTGTTTTTGAATTCCAAATTTTTTTTAAAGCTAATAGACATTTTTAAGAGTTTCAAAATGTTTTTAGAGCCCTAAATTTTTTCTCAGAGTTCTAAAATACCTTTCAGAGTCTCGAAATGTTTTTAAGAAGCCTAAAAAATATTTCTCAAAACTCAATAACGTTCTTAAGAATTCCAAAGTATTGTTTTGTGTTTCAAAATGTTTTTAAAGCTCATAGCCATTTTTAAGAGTTCCAAAAAGTTTTTTAAAGTTCAAAATTAATTCCCAGAGTTCTAAGATACCTTTCAGAGTCTCAATTTTTTTTAGAATCCTAAAATATTTCTCAAAAATCTAAAATGTATTTAAGAGTTCCAAAGAGTTGTTTTTGAGTTCCAAAATTTTTCTAAAGCTCACAGACATTTGTAAAAGTTCTAAAATGTTGTTTTGAGTCGAAAAAAATCTTTCTGCCCTAATCCAAAATTCTGCTCAATACTCTAAAATACAATACAATTTTTATAACAAAACCAACAAACGATTATTTACCCAAAAAGTGATGAATAAAAAAAAAATATTTATAAAAAGCCCCGAAACAAAATTCACGAAACATAAAAATAACAATTCAAAACCTAAAAGGTGTGTTCAAAAGGTGAATGAACAGAAGGAAACAATTGCGAATAGAGCGAGAATTTCACGAGACTGAATAAAAAACGGAGGTTGAAAAAAATATTACAAAAAATAATAATAATAATAATAAACACCGAAAAGAATGAAGAAGATGAAAAAAAAAATGGTATGCGATTATAAACTTTCCACTAAATAAAAGGACTTTACGTAGCAGAAATAACAACTCGGTTGGAATTACTGTGATAGCAAAAGCGAGCAAGGCAAGAGTGAGAGAGAGTTGCATTTTGCACAAACCTCCTTTTCTCCCTCTCCCCCCCCTTTTTCGCGACACGACGCCTATACACAAACCCACACTTCATCTTTGGCAAAAGTATGGAATAGCAAAATATTCCACGTTACACTACGGTTTCGTTGTAGCGCGCGATAGTAGCAGAGAAAATGATAAAAAGAAGAGAGGGGGGTGACCCGCATAAATATTCATTCGCAAAATACTTCATCCATCACGTCGAATCTGTGCTCATTGCAGTTGGACGCCTCTCCTCCGCCGCGCCTCGCAAAATATAGAAGAGAGTCTCTCTCACGTCGCGCAATTTTGAATTCGAAGACATTACAATTTATAATTTTTTGGTTCCCCCCTTCCATTTACTTTTCCCGATCAACATACATAACTCGCTGTTATATACGTATATATAAAGATATAGATATATACAATTCACCTATACGTGAAGTGAAAATATGAAACAGACGATTTCTATAACCAGCTTTTTGACTCACAGATTTTCATTTGCACAAAATTCGCAACGTTGGCGCATTTATATATTTCGCAATTGCAATTTAAATTTTTCTACAATAAATTAAATAAATAAAAAATTGTATTTCAATTTTGAATTTTAAATTTATGTGAATTTGAATTTGTTTATTTAAATTTATGCTAATATGTATATTTATAATGTAAAATTAAAATTAGAATTCGTATATTTTTATGTATATTAATTATTAATATATACGTTTATCAATTACCTATTTTAAGTACAGGCTTCGTACTCGATAATTAATTTTAAAAAAGTAGTTTAAACACAGAAAAAAGTAGGTAGCTAATATATCGAAAAATTAAACTTGACGACTCAATTTTTAATTTCTTAATATTAGGTACATTCAAAAATACAAAATTTTTTTTAAATAAATATTTCAATGTAACGCATTTTGGAAATGTAACAATTTCTAAAAATAACGAAAGAAATTCTTTCAAAATTCAATCAGTTTTTTCTTGAAATTTATAAATAAAATTATTCAAAACTTTAATAATTTTAATTTATTCAATTTTAAATCAATTCTTCTTATAAAGTTCTACGAGAATGAATAATGCAAAAATAAATAATTTATTGAATAATTGAATATTTGTTAAATTTAAATTCTTATACAGATCTTTATCAACTTTTTTTTAAAATAGTTGAATTTTTACGAAGAATTGGATTAAAATGGATAGAAATTAAATTCTTTCAAGAAATGTAATTAAAAATGAATTGAAAATAATTATTACACTCTAAGAAACAAATTATATCAAATTTTTTTAAATAATTGAATTTTTTCGAAGAATTATTTTATTCTAATTTTTAAGAATAATTGCGTTTTTAACGGAATTAATTTAAAATAATATTAAAAATAATTAAAATCCTGCAATGAGTTTTATTATTTACGAAAATAATTGAATTTTTGTCACCGAACTTTAATAAAGTTTTTAAAATAATTGCCTTCTTGAGAAGAATTGAATTCCTGAGAAGAATTTTATTATTTATAAAAATAATTGAATTCTGGTGAGGAATTTTATAAAAATATATTTAAATAATTGATTTTTTTCGGAAAAAATTAGAAAAATTCTTTTTTAAATAATTGAATTCCTGTGAAAATTTTTTTATTTATGAGAGTAACTGAATGTTTGCGAAGAATTTTATAATAATTTTTTTTAAATTATTCAATTCTTTTTGGAAATTTTTTGTTAAAATATTAGATTTATTAAAAATCAATGAATTACAAAAATTTTTTGAAAATAATTGAATCGTTTTAAAGAATTTTAGAATTTTATTAAAATTTTTTGAATTTTTTCGAATAACTTTATTAATATTTTTTTAAATAATTTTTTTATTTCAACTGTTAAATTTAAAGTAGTGTAAATTCTCAAGCATGGAAAAAAGTAGCTTTTAGTGTAACAAATAAAAAAAAGTATCCAAATAGTAGAAAATCGTAAAAAAAAGTAGTAAATACTAGGTTTTAGTAGACGAGTACGAGGCCTGTAAGTATAATATTAAAAATTTACATTGCAATTTTAATTTATTATACTACTAAATAAATATCTACAACTAATCAACTTACAATTTATACCATAAAACCCTTATCCAAAAATAAAATAGAAAAAAAATTTCCATCACACTTATGTACAAAAAGTATACACATCTAATTTGAATATAAAAAGGCTCTAAAGCAAAAAAAAAAAGAGAGAACAAAAAAAATTATTTAAAAAAAAATGGATCTCATCAAGATGAAGTTTTTAATTTAGAAAATGGCACAATCAGAATATCAAAATAATTCAAAAAATGGAAAATGACATGCGTGAATAATTCATTTACTGCAATGTGTGTATGCAATTTCCCGACATATAAAAAAATAAATACCAAAAAATAAAATTGCCACACTCGAAATAATTTCTTTTTACATAAAAAAATACAAATAAAGAGAAATTCTAAAAAAAACGTGCAATCGATTTGCAATAAATCTACAATAAAAAAACAGTGAAAACAAAATTTCATACAACAAAAATAAAATCTTTAAAGTTCAATTAGTGAAAAATCGTCCACATATTCAAATTAGTAAAAATTTCTACCAATTATTAGTAAAATTAAAATTTTACTATTTTAATTCTTAGGTTTAAATTTATTTACTTTTTTCAGTGGAAAATTACTGGAAATTAGTAAAAATTTTTACTACTTTAAATTAATTGACTTATCACTAATTCAGATTTGAAAATAATTTTCGATCATTTTAATAATTTTTTTTATCAAAAATAGAAAAATGTGCCTCTAATAAACCCAAAACAGTTGATAGATAAAATGTCTCAGTACTCAGTAGCAGGAAATACATTATAAAAAATAAAATACATATACTATAAGTAGATAAGGAAACATAGAATATAAAAAATATGTACCTATAGCTTCGTGTCGCTTTCTCTGCATCCCTTAAATAGGAAAGCATCAAATATCAATTTAATTCCTTGTTTTTCAAAAAAAAAATATATATACATTGAGAACGATTTCATCAAAACTGCGCTTCTATCAACGAAAAAAAATTTTTTTTTAAAATTCTTTCGATAACTTTTGATTTCTTGATTCAAATAATATGAATTTAACCAAGAAAAATTTGTTTTAAAAAAATATTTTCATTTATCAAACAAATATAAGAAATTAAATAAAATATGACGAGCGTAAAAAAAGTACAAGAAGCAAATAAATTTGCTAATAAATTTTGAAGTAAAAATGCAGAAAGAGAATATATTACTATAATAAATGTCGAATTCTCTATTACATGAAAAATATTCAATAAAAACTGGTTTCAAATTTAAATAACTAAAAAGGAACTAAAAAAAAAATTAAAAAGAAATAAATCTAACATAAACATAAACTATAATTTATTTGTTTCTTGTACCTTTCTTGGGAGCGCGTCACAAATGAGTAAAAAAATTAAAAATAAATTCAAAAATGAAATATTCCTTTCAATACATGAAAATATTTTTTTATACACACATACGATTCAATGAAAATGATTTTGAAAAGATGAAAATTTTCCTGAATGGATGTACAGAAATATGTAAAGTTTTATGAGCCAATATTACGGCGTATAGACGAAAAATAGGAACGCAGTAATTTTTTTATCGTTACTTTCTACTCTCAAACACTGAGAAGAAAATAATTTTACCAGAAAAAATATTTATAAAAAATTCTCAAAATTTCTAAAAAATATACAATTATTTATACCATTTCTTATATACCATTTGTAATGTTATAAATCAATTGAATCATCAATTCATTAAAATAAAATAATAATTATTTTACTTATTATGAAATAGTTATAAATAAATAATTAACTAATTTTAAATGAATTAATTAACTAATTATAAGTGAATTAATTATAAATAACTATATCATAAGTAAACTAATTAAAAAAGAATTATAATTATAATTACCCGAATTATAATTATTAAAGAAACTAATTATTTATATAATAAATATATATTTAATTACTGATTGCATTCGAAAGAGAAATGTTGGATGAAAAGAAAAAACAGATGATAAATTAATCAATAAGAGAGAGAAATTTTTAAAAATACAAAAACGCGAAATTTTTCTTTTCTTCTCTTCCGAATTTTTTTTTTCTATATTCTTTTTTTCCACGTTTGTTTTTGAACCGTGTGCAATAAAGTTTCGACTCAATTCACCGCAAATGAAATTTTTTTGAATCTGGTGTACGTGACACTTCAAGTTCTATTCGCATCAGCTTGAAAATTTTTGAAACTTTTCTCTTCGCGCATATAAAAGTCCATAGTTTGACAACTTTTTTTTTGCATTTATTATTTTCCACGTTTGAAAGTTTGCAATCAAAAATGTATATTCTCGAATATATCAAAATTCTAATTTAAATATTGAATTAAAAAAAAAACAGAATAGTAAACCAAAACCGAAAAAAAGAGAAATTTAAAAAAAAATCGACTTTATACCTAAAACTAATTTTTTTTCCGGTTCGGTAATTAATTACTTTTTTTGAATTTCTGTTCTTGGAAAATAAAAAAATTTTGAAAATAAATTTCCTTTGGTAATTTTTTTCTCAATTTCCATTCTTGGAAAATAAAAAGTTTTGAAAATAAATTTCCTTTGGTAATTAATTTCTTTTGTTTTTTTAGTTTCTATTTTCGAAAAATGAGAGAATTTTGAAACTAACTTTCGTTTGGTAATTATTTTCCTTTTTAATTTCGACTCTTGAAAAATAAAAAAATTTCGAAAATAACTTTTGTTCGGTAACTTTTTAAATTGAGATTCTTTGTTTGGTATATAACAAAAGAGGAAAATAAATTTGAGAAGCTTCTCCTTTTTCCTCGTTTTAGTATATAATTAAAGCTTGACAAAGAAATTCAAAGCAATTTGTTTTCTCGAATTTCTCTATTTCTTCTCAGTGTATTGAAAATAATTTGTTAGCTCACCAAGCTTCGCTTTCATGTCCGTCTTGTCGGACGCTTTCCTTCCGGGCTTGCGTCCTCGCTTGCCCCCCTCTTTCCGGTCACCACGTGTGCCCTCCTGAAAAATAAAAAAAATTCTCAAAATTAAGGCGGATCTTTTTAAAGAAATAAAAAAATAAATGAAAATATTTTACTAAACTATTTTTAAATAATTATCGGACTCTCTAAAAGTAAAAATAGCTTTTTTTTATTAAAGCCTCGGACTGAATTTAGAAATTAAAAAAAAACAGTATCACATTATTTATTTATAAATAATGAGTATTGTGTGTTTGACTAAAAAAAATTTATAAATATGCACCAACAACATAAAATAAAGTATTCTCTCAATAACGACAATAAAATTATGTTAATTATAAAAAAAGTGTTTGAGGGATAAAATGGTGTTTTAATTTCTCCACTTGAGAACGCCAAGGTCACCACCAGATGTCAGCGAGAATTCCAAGAAGGAACTGAACTGCCATCTAGCGGTGACCTTGGCGTTCTCAGGTGGAGAATAGCAACTCCATATTGAATCTCAAAATGTACGTCAATATTCGTAATTCTATTATTTATAATCAAATTTATAGTTTGACAATTAATATAAACGGATTTCAATGTTTAATTTGCGATTTAGTTCTTTTAACTACTTTTTGGTGGTCAATACAATTTTTTTAATTACGATTTAATTGAACTTCAATAGAGTAGTTAAAAACTAGTCAAATCCACTAGTAATTTTTTTTTTTTTGAGTCTAGAGAGTAGACGCATTATAATAGTCACGTCTCACTATTTTCCACGCTAATCACAGGGAACAGCAAAACGATCCCAAAGGAGATTTCAATTCAACTGAGGAATAGGTTATTTTATCGTCTCAACATTGAGGAAAAACAAAAAAAAAAACTTATATATCTATATATAAAGCGACGAAAGACAAAGAACTCTCCGAGACACCTGGGAAATTCTCGTTTTAAGCGTCAACTCCCAGGAACGTGATTACGTCTTCCATATTTTCTCGAAGGTAAAGCAAACGCGAGAACAAATAGCCCGCACAGGTCATTGAAAAACCGGACATTGAAAAGTCGAAGTTATTTCCGGTTTTCTACGATCCATGGTATATCCTATATGTACATGTATGTGGGTGTATCTATATATTATTAGACGACAACCTGGAGACTAAATTCGACACTTATATACACATCTATGTGCCTTGAAAATCTTTTCCTCTCGAAAATATATAAAAAGAGATAAGTACGGTCAATGGTGAAGGTAAAAATGATTTTTAAAGGATCGTCCACAGAAAAGTAACAATTTTTACACCTTTGAAAATGTTTCAAAGATAAGCACTTATTTCGCAGACAGAAAAGACATTTTCTCCTACTTCTATACCAAAACAGTTAATTGAAGAAACTTGGTTCTTTTCAATAAATATTCTCAAATACCGAAATTTGTTTTCACGTGAGAAAAATTTATTTGATTCACATAATAGATAACTCCCTAAAATTGAATCAACAGGGCTCGAAGTAAGTCCGTAAATCCTGAAAAAGTCCGTAACTTTGCTTCAAGTCCGTAAAATAAATTGTACGATATAATTTTGAGAATTTTAGAGAAATTACAAATGATTGCAGAAAGTCAATTATTTTTAAACGTAATAAAATTCTTCCCAAAGATTCAATTATGTTCAAACATTCTTTTAAATTTTCATCAAAATTTCAATTATCTTTAGAAATATTAAAATTCTTCTCCTAAATTCAATTACTTTCAAAAAATCTAAAAAACATTGTCAAAATTTCAATTATTTTTATAAATAAACAGCAAAATTCTTCGACAAAATTCAATTATTTTCAAAAATTTTAATAAAATTCATTAAAAAATTTCAATTATTTTCATAATTAACAATATAATGTGACGCTCCACGAGAAAAGGGACCTTATTTACTCTTGTCATAAGGTCCCTTTTCTCGTGGAGCGTCACATATATATCACACGAATTCAACTATTTTCTAAAGTAATAAAATTCAATTATTTTCAAAAAATTTAATAAAATCCATTGCAAAATTTCAATTATTTTCAAAAGTAATAAAATTCTTTTTAGAAGAATTCAATTATTTTCAATAGAATTTTAATCGAATTCCTCGAAAAAATTTTTAAAAATTTTATTAAAATTCGTCCAAAGAATTTAATTATTTAAAAATTTGTTGATAAAATTTTTAATAGGAATTGAATTCCAGAAAACATTCAATTATTCAATAAATTATTTATTTTTGTAGTTAAATAATTGAATTCTGGTAGAATTCTCTCATAAACATAGATTTAAAAATAGATTTCAGTTAAAATCTTAGATTATAATAATTAAATTCTTTCGAAGAATTTCATTAAAATTCTTAAAATAATTGAATTTTATCGAGACATTTTTTTAAAATTGTCTTAAAAATAATTCAATTTCTACCAAAAAAAGTTTTATCACAAAACTTTTTAAAATGTTTGAATTTCTGCTAAAATTATGATATTTTTGAAAATAATTGAATTCTTGCGAAGAATTTTATTAAGACTTTTTGAAAATAATTGAATTTCTGCAAAGATTTTTATTATTTTACGAAAATATTGAAATTCTTGCGAGAAAAATTTTATTAAAATTTCTGAAAGTAATTGAAGATCTAAGAATTTTGTTATTTTTAATTTATGCCAAGAATTTTATTAAAATTTTTAAAAATAATTGAATTCCTGTCAATTTTTTACAAGAATTTAATTATTTTTGAAAATTTTAATAAAATTCTTCGCCAGAATTCAATTATTTTCATAAATAATAAAATTCAATGCAGAATTTCAATTATTTTATTTATTTTTAATACAATTTTAATCAAATTTCTCGAAAAATGTAATTATTCTTAGAAATTTTATTAAATTTCGTTGATAGAATAAAATTCAATTAATTGAAAATTTGTTGATAACGATTTTTTGTGGGAATTGAATTTGAAGAAACGTTCAATTATTCAACAAATTATTTATTTGCATTTTATTTGTATTTAAATAATTGAATTCTAGTAGAATTTTCAAATAAAAATTGATTTTCATTTCATAAAAATGAATTTCAGTTAAAATTTTAGATAATAATTGAATATTAAAAGCAATATAGGCGTTAATTTTAAAAAATAATTCAAGTTTGTATTTAATTTTTTTGAAAAAGTTTATTTGAATTTTTTTATATTATTTGAAGATTTTATTTTCTAAAATATATTTAATTGAAGAATTGACGAATAATTTAAATTTCGTAAAATTGAATATTGTAAAGAAATGAATTTGGAAATGGTCAAAGAACTTTTTCGAAAATTATTAAAAATAATCGATATAAAGAAGAATTTTAGATAAGAATATTCTTAAAAATAATAATTATTATTAATTATTATAAAACATGAAGAAATCGACGACTTCGAGTCGAAGACTCGGTGTTATCGATTTCTTCATGATTTATAGTTATGAGAAACTGAATTTCTAGTTTTAAGTAAAATGTTCTTTTATTTGATTCGGACTGATTCTATTTTTGTCAGTTGGTCCGTAGAGTCCGTATTTTTAAATACTTTCACTGCTTCGAGCCCTGAATCAATTAATCAGTGATCACTTTCTTCAGTCATCATTTGTTTTATAATAATTAAAGATGCATCCAATTCATAATAAATATTAAAATCGTGTTTATTATTCATTATCAGCATTCTCTAATAATAAAACCAAAATAAAAATTGACAAATTCCCTTATTCTTTAAAGAACAACACATTTTTCAAAAAGAACGAATTTTAAACGAGCGCAAAATAAAAATAAAAAGAATTAACTTGGCATAGTTTCAGAACACTTTTAAGTTTTAACGAATATAAAATCGAGTAATTTCGCCATTTTCCCCAATTGTCACATTTGCAAAAGTACTATAATATTTCACAATTCGGTATAAAGGTATAAATTTTCCACTCTCATCCAAAATGAAACAATTACGCAAAACGTTTTTTCTCACTTTGACGGTTTATCTTTTTTGTTTTCCTTTTTTTGTCCTCTCCTGACTCAAATTCATTCTATAGATACGAAATCTCCTGCAATCGTAAACATATCCATTGGTCATTCGAGAAAAAACGCGCGAATACAAAGCCGAGCTTTTCGGTCCATATATGTATACATATATATAATGTTTATCGCGAAAGAAAAACATGTGCGCGAGTAAAAGCGAGATAGTTGAAAAGTAAAGTAGCGAAGCGCAAAAGAATCCGGAAGTGACGAAGAAGCAGAGATAAAGAAGATTCGAGGAGATTTAATATCAGATAGGATTGACAAGTATATATACTGTAGAGATGAAGAGAAAATGGGGGAAGGGGTGGAAGGGGGGGGGTGGAATTTGTATTTTGTCACCGAGGGCGTGCATGCATAACTAAACTAAGGAACCGCATCATGAGAGAGTGAGTGAGAGAGTATGTCCCTTGAGACGAGTCAATTTTAATGGTTAGTCAAAGTAAAAGGGGATGATAAGGGGGGACACGGTGGGTTTTAGGTTAAAGGGAAAACGCGAAAGAGAAACCTCATTCCCCCTATATATTGCTTTTTAGAAAAATCTCTTCTCTTTCGACTCTGGGTCAATCTCTTCTTGCGGTTTGGAATTAAATTAACGTGCGGACGGATTTAAACTTAAAGGGGGATAAATCCCATTTCACAGGAAGGATTTCACACTGTTGTGAGAAAAACTCACTACCTTATATATATATATATATATAGAGGGTACAGATCAGTTCCCATGGAACCTGCAACTTTTCTCCAATCCTTAATAGTAGCAATCTGCCGAGAGAAATCCGTCTTCTTTGGCTTTTCGATTTCAGATATAGGAAATGTAACTCCACTTTCTTTTAGTTAACAAATTGTCACTAGTTTTTTTTCTCTCTTTTTCTTTACAACTATTTCTTCTGACAGGAAAAAGAATTCTCGGAGAAAATTGTGTTTCATAAAAGAAGATGTTAAATATTTAGATTCACTCTTAATGTTCAATGTTAACCCGCTATTTGGAAACCAATTGCGACTCTAAATTTTTCTTCTAAGTGCAATTCTTCTTT